CAAACCTGTTATGGGATTGTCTATATTACTTCAGGCTGGTGGATCATCTGTCCCCTTTGCGAAACAAAAACAAAGTCAAAGGAGAGAAAAGTTTGGGACGAATCGGTGTATAATATACAGTACTGTATACACACACACAGTATGCATCCCAGAAGTTAAAATTCAGAGTACACCATACTACACCAAGGTGACACCACTTCGATAAAGTTCTTGCCACTGGTATTGGAACATGGTATAAATTTCATCGGTGTTTATTTAAATTACCTTCATATTGCGAAGTTCATAATGCGTGCACCAAACTCGACAGAATTAGAAGTGAATGCAAATGTTTAATAAAGCAAGAAATTGTGGTGGAGTGTGAAAATAAGACTGCCACAATATCTATAACAATAATACGAATGACAATATTAAATGGAACAAATAAATAAATAAAATTATAATCTCTAAAATAAACCCAAATGGTATATGAAGAAACAAAGGCAACACAGCTACTGAGATGATTCCTGAATTATGTCATCTCGATTATCCAAGTAACCCGGGGACCTAACAACCTTTCAGACACGACGCAATAGGGCAGATCTCATTGAAACAAGCAAAATCCTTAAAGTGATGGAAAACTTGAACCCAGGTCATCTCTGTGTGATGTCACGCACCACTAACATGAGGAGACATAACTACAAGCTCGCCAAGTTATCATGCAAAACAAATATAAAGAAATACTTTTTTCACACCGAGGAACGGTCTACCAGTCCAAGCTGTGGAATCAAGATAGAGACTGGGCTGCAAATTAGCCCTCAACAAAATTATCAAGAAAAATGGAGGGATCCTACACAGGCCATAGGCCCCATTCCCTCGGTTTGTGCTCTGTTCTCTTTACTATACTAATAAATGCGTTTCATTATTTTTTGTCTGAGAATAGCCTCTGGATCATAAAACTTACACAAACAGTGGTAGCAACCAGATTATTTTTGCACAGTACATATAGTTTCACCTGCTGTAGTTAGTAAGCAAGTATACAAATTCCGCCTGTCCCTCCAATCGTCAACACCTCAATTAAGACTAAATGTAATGTGATGAAAAACGGTGATTACGGAGGAAGCGATAGGGGTGAGTTGTACTATAACTGGAAATTGTATCTCCTGAGTAAAAGTGAAATAGAATACTGCCCATAAGTCAGAATAAAAGCTTCATATTTAGGACGTATATAGTGTCAACTGCCGAAAACCAATTAGCGAAATCAAAAGGAGTCAATATACGAGTTGTAATATCTTCTGAAAACCTAGTTATATATCGAAAATAATTTAACCCATGTGTACGTACAACCAGTATTGACTTAAGGACGCTAAATACAGTGACAGGATACAGGATGATGAGGAGGCATTAAGCTACTCAGGGAAGTAAGATGAGATACATGCCAGCCATAACGTGTACGGGTAGAAAATAACTGAATGGGGATCTCACACCAAAGTAAAAAAAAAAATATTACAACTTATATTACAATTTCATATCATTAACATCACCACCGAGACTACCGGAGGTGAGACAACAGTGACATGTAAACTTTCAAGCCATAGGCCAACAAATCTTGCCAATGCTCTCCCATCTGCACCTGTCTGTTCAAATGCTCTTTGCGGAGTGGTTATGGTTTCTAAAAAACACCACTCCAAATAAAATTATAGCGTAAATACGTATTAAATATTTATTCCTCTGAGTGCCCCTTGCCTGTGTATACTTAGTACCTGTCGACATATACCTAAGTGTACTAACTTCTTCAGGTGTCGCCCAGTTTCTCAACCAATACCCTTTCACGACAATGGCATCGTCAAGGCCACTGCCACAAGGGAAAGGGTTTTCTCGCCTATATATATATAAACAGACAGACATACCGACTCCACACTACAGTCCTCCCACTGCTATGACCACAGTCATGGTGGTAAGTCGTTATATAATTTTGTCTTTAGCTCTTAAAATATGTCACCGTAGCATATTGTTACGGTTTCATATTTAATAATCAGTGTGTATCCCATATATGTTTGTATTTTTTGCAACTTTTAATAATAATGCTTCTTTCATAATTTTCTTCTTGTTTTATGCAGGCTACATAACACTTATTGATCACGAACTAAATCTTTTACAATATTCACATTTTGGAAAATTCGGTGACCTTGCAAGACCCACATAGCTCAGATGATGAAGCCCAGTATTAATGAATGTATTATCACGCCGAGACCTACTTAGCAGGCTATGTACGATGATTTTCATGTTGGTTAATACACAAATAGACGTTTTTACTTCAACTGTTGTGCGTGTTGAAACTACTTTTCTTTTGTAAGAAGCGTATAAAAAACAAACAAAAAGAACTAAAAAACTCAGAAATTCTGAGTGTTGCTCGTATGTTCCGAGTCAGAACATACAAGTAACGTTCTTGTTATAAATTTTCCTGTTTCTTCAAGACCGCAAAGCGAGTTACCGTTTCCATCTTTACGAGGGCAAATATCCTTATTTTTTGAAGTACCTTTTCTTTCAGTTCCGTCCGAGTTTGGTGCTGATGCTGGTGGCCACAGCGATGGCGGCGCCACAGTTCAACTTGGGTGATCAACAGGTGACATTTTCTTTTTACACAGTTTATAATTATAAATGGTGTTATGTGCCACATTAAATTTCTAATGAAACAATAGCCAAATGTTTCCACAAATCACCAAAACACACATTCAAACCTATCGATTGACATTTCTTACGTGTACAGTACAATCCATTAGCGCAGTGCTCGTGTCACAAAACACTAAAATGTAATCTCTATATAAACATTATGCTGTTCAGATATTATATACAGTGGAAGATTGCTGTAATTATCATGCCATTTTGAAGATTACTTTTCATGTCAGCCAGTGAAATGAATTCTTAGATCTCGTTTTGAGGAAAATTTAACGTACGACCTTTAGGAATTCGAGCCAAGGTTGGGATAATAACTACTCGTAATTTAACAGTAGATAACGAACAGAAATCAATCAATACATCCACTGACGTTTCATTTGCAGCCGGCGACGTCTTATGATTTCGGGTATGGGGTGAACGTGCCGGAATCTGGTGATGTAAAGGAACACAAGCAGTCTCTCTCCCCGTCTGGACGGACCGACGGAGAATCCCGCTGGCTCCAGCCTAACGGACTCTTCCGGTGAGTGTCTCTTGAATATCTAGTGTTGTCTTGTAGGTCTCAAGATCAAAGTTAATTTCTTCATGAATTAGTGCAAAAAGTTTCCAATTTGATGAGTGCATTTGAAAGCCTCGTCGTGCAATTTTTGCCATATCCTCTCATGAATGAATAATTAAAATCTCCTGTTTAAAGATATGGTAGCAAAACGTTAAAACAATAACCATGAAAATATATTTCATATGAAATGCAATCAAAGAACGCAAATTACTTGAACGGAAACTGATAACTAGGATATTCCAATAAGGCCGACGTCAACACAGACACTGCTCTCCAGTGTCATATTAAAATATTTCCGTCCTTAGGGTGGTGAGATACACGGTGGAGGGCGGGTTAGGGTTCCAGGCTATCGTCACCGAGGAGGCCGGCAACGAGGTTGCCAACTACAACAATTTTGACGGCTCCGATAACTCGGCCCGTGCCCAAACCTTCAGCGGTAGTGCCAACAACCAGCGAGTCTTTGGCAACAAACAGACCTTTGGAAGTCAAAGCTTCAATGGCCCCAAAACCTTCCAAAGTAGTGATTTCAGTAGCTCGCAAAGAGGCCAAACCTCCATCGGCGCACAGAGCCTTCAAAATCGAGGCTTCATCGGAACACAAAGGCTTCAAAATCAGGTCTTCAGCAGCTCACAAAGGCCTCAAATTCAGGTCTTCAGCAGCTCACAAAGGCCTCAAAATCAGGTCTTCAGCAGCTCACAAACGCCCCAAAATCAGGTCTTCAGCAGCTCACAAGGACCTCAAAATCAGGTTTTCAGCAGCTCACAAAAGCCTCAAAATCAGGTCTTCAGCAACTCGCAAAGACCTCAAAATCAGGTCTTCAGCAGCACGCAAAACATCCTTAGCCAGAGCTTCCAGGACACACAAGGAGCCCAGCGCCAGGTCTTCAAGTCTCCACAGACCTTCCTGACCCAACCCGTACCTCAGTTCGGAAATGTCATTGACGGTGGAGTAATTGATGGAGGAATCATCGACGGAGGCATAATTGATGGAGGAATAATTGGAAGCACCATAATCAGCAGCTCGAACTCAGTTGTCAGCCCCTTCAGTTCTGGAGCCAATAGCTTTATTTCAGGATCAACTGACTTCGTTGGGTCTGGCATCCTCAGCACACAATCTAATAGCCTTAACTCAAGATCCGGCGACCTCAGCTTTGGATCAAGCATCTTTAATTCAGGATCAAGCAACTTTAACGCGGGATCTACCAACATCAACTCGCAATCCAACAGATTCACCTCAGGATCTGGTGTCAACAGTTCAGGTCCAAATAGTTTAGCTGTGATCCTCGCCAGTGATACATCAAGGCTCAATGGTTGAACAACTATTAAAGAATAATAATTTTTTGCTTCTAGGACAAACTACATCAATCGCCAACAAAATCATAGCATCTTATCAACATCGTTCAACACCCAGTTTACGACCATGTTTAATCATCTTGTATTATTAGATGTTTGATGTTTGTTAATTTGTATCTTCAACCAGTTACAAATCAGATGGAGGTTGTATTGGAAGTCGAATCTTTGGCATTGGGTAGGTAACCTACCCGAGATTGTATTCATCATTATGTGAGGTTTCTACGGACTTAATGCCATATATAAGAATAAGAAAGAAGCCATACAGTATATTATTTAATTCACTATCCTTAATTTTAAAATAAAATTTATTTCCAGAATTTATAAACTAATTTAATATTTTGACACCATATTTTAGGAAACTACGGTGGAATATGAGCCTTTGGAATGTAGTGTGAAAAATATCCAAAACGAGTTACATAAATTAAACGTACATTGATTTGTTGAACACTGAAGTTTATCTTTCAGGTGTAATTATTTTAAATAAACATTTTTCTGAGACTTCATATGGTAATCAAAGATATACAGACTTCCCCCACCCGACAATCTGTGGCGTAGGAAATGGAATGTGTGCCAGTCTTGCTCTTCATTCGACACCAACAGCAAGAGAGAGAACCGGGGTGGAGATCAGTGTATTGTTAACAAACACTGCCTTGAGACAGCCAACGTTGATAGGATATCGTCAACAGCCATGATGTAAGCAACTGGCGTTTAGGTTAGTGATAAAACCAAATTGTAAAAAAATTCAACAAAACTCAGCTGTCTTCGATTTTTACTTGACGTTTTTTGCTACAGCCAAGATACTGTAGATGATTTCATAATCAGTCCAGTTATACAGTACTTTTGGTTTATTTTTTCAGTAATTTCTATGAATACCAGTTTATATTGTAAGATTGGGGTCTTGATTCTTAATTAAATAAAGATTCTTGTCATAAGAGAAAATTCTTTATCTTATGAAATTTGTAGAATGAAGAACCGGATTTGCTGAAAAAAAAAACAAGTCCTTAGCTAACTGGGTACGTTCACGTAACTCAAAGGACAGTTTGACAAATCGCAGACTAGTGAATTCTATCCACTTCAAATCTACAGTAACTGTACTGTCAATAAATTACATAAAACATTCGCAAAAATTCATACCTCTGATATGTTCCAAGAGGTCACATTATGGGCACGCTTGAGAACAGTAACAGTGATACGGGAATACAACCCGCTTGGACGAGTGGGGGAAATAACACGGACAAGACAAACCAAAGAAAATGAAAATTAGTTATTTTAATTTGAAACCCTCCAGAATAGTTTTGATGTAACCTGTTAGCCGTAGTTTCAGGGAGCCAGAGGTCTTTTCAGGTCATTATATTTTTGGAGAATTTTTATACAGGAGTTAATTCTACGGAAAAAATCACTTATGTCGATTGTGAAACTTTTAACGTGACTCCGGAACAATGTAAGCAAATTCATCCGGATTAGATAGATCTCAATCTCCCTAACCTGTGTGTTTTTGGTTTAATAGCCGCATTTAACACGTGTGCTAAAACAAATGTGTTCTTATTTCTTAGGGGACAGTTTATTAATATGGAATAGAAGTCAACATGAATCAGAGTTCTACAGAATCTTGGTTCATTAAGTTTCCATTTAAACCTGTAGTGAAAGGATATAAATGCACCAAATCAATCTTACATTTAAATCTTTATTAAGACACTGAAAATAATTTATTCTACCTTAAGCAAAAAATCACAATTAACATACGGTACATGTGTTTTGTTTTATAAAGCACCAAACTCCGATAATGTACACTGGGAATACTAAATCCTTGTACTGTATTCGTAAAACCAAACGTTAAAAATCTTTCAAAACAATTCGTTTCGTCATTATTTATGCAGATAACAAGTGGTAAATTACTAGGATAGATTCGCCAGCAAGCATGTGCTGGGGTTCAATAGGTGTTAAACTGAGGAGGAACCCAGTTTTCTCTACAAACCTAAATATTAAAAACTTTTTTTTCCCAGGTATCACCAGAGAACTATCAGTGTCACAGGCGTCCTAACACACTCCAGTAGTAAAATTCTCTAGGGTATAAATATAAATTCATTTTAGAAAATACAGATCTGCACCTTCTTTCCTAAAGTCGTCACATTAAAACACGAAATACGATAAAATTCACTGGTACAGTCTTAACAAACATTAATTATTCAGTCGCCTTTCGGTCATCGTAATGTCCTCCAGAACTATTCCACACTCATAGATGATTACATCCTTGGCATTCAAGTTGACAGCATATTGAAGAATATCTAATCCATGTTCTACTGTACCAAAGGCGGTTTCCTCCTGTAGCTTACCATGGGAATCTTTAGTGTAGATACGAAACACGAAACCGAATGTCTCGCTTCTTACTTCTCCTGACACAAGCCCATCTGTGACAGGCAATTTCAGAGCCACTGTAGTTGGATTTTGCTTCATAGGTTTAACGCTAATGGCCCTGAGGTTACCGCTCCACCATCTGATAGATTCTCCCGGTCTGTTCTTCCTCTCAGCCCCATGGAAGAAGGTGTTGCGGAAAGAGATGCCTTCCTCCCCAGTACAAAGTCTCCGGAAGTGGTGACCCATGACTGTGTTGCCCAACAGTCGTATGTCGACGCGGCCACGACATTCACCGCCCCAGGAAAGCTCCAAAAACGTTAATACTGAAGAACCATCCCCACAAACACTGGCACTCTCCTTCTGTCAATACAGTATAGCGGTGTAGTAATAATTCTCAAGCATGTTATACAAATGTCACTACAAATAAAACTATAGTACTTACACAAAATGTGTGTGGTGCGTGCCTGTATGGTGCATGCGTGCGTGCTTGTAGGGTGGTGCACGTGCTCTTGTGTGTGCTTGTGGGGGTGTGTGCGCGGTGCGTGTTGTACTGGTCGGAATGGTATATGTCAACACGTTATACGATTCATATTACGCTCCATACTCACTAACACAAAGCTATTTCTTATTACTGAGTCGCATCTAAGGCGTCCGTTTTCCCACCGCTTCCGTGCGCCAGTCCTCTCTTTTCTCTCGAATAGTACCACGACTTGATATTCCTTAGTATCTCAGGTCATGTTACGAAATTGGAGATGGCAACTGAATGCGTATGTATTTTATTAAGTTAGATATGTCTACTTACACAGGAAACATTCAAAATCCCTTGGGAGTGACGTTGAAAGCTTCAACTACATTTACCCTTAGTAAAATTGTCAAATAAGTTCTTGTTAGAGGTTTGCAAGAGGCGTGATTCGTATTCCTGCCCTAGAAGGCAAACCCAGTTGACAGTTGCCACTGATGTTTGTATTGAAATGATCATCAGTTTCATATTTTAGAAAGTAATTAATTTCTTGAAAGAATACGTCAGTCTCTTCTCGCCCTAAAATCTAATGGCGAACTATCAGTAGGCCCTTGTCCATTCTTTGATAATGATGTAAGAATGTTGTTGTAGCGTACTGTATGTGGCCAGTTGTCAATTCTCTTATTATGGGCACACAAACGTACGTACATGTAGGTATCTCACACTCAGGAATGAGGTAGGATAGAAACTCACGATGCGCTTTCTGTATATATATTGTTGTACAGCGCAGTGCTTAGGAGTGACTAGGTGAGGAGAACTTGCTCAGAGGTCCTGTAGGGCGAGGAGGTTACTGAGGAAGCTGGGTGGTGTGGAGCTGTGAGAGGTGCTGCTGGTCCAGTAGCCGAGTGTAGAAGTATTCTGACATGACATGACATGAAATGCGAAAGGAGGTTCAGGAATAAAGGGAGGATTAGTGAATTTTAGGAGGAGAGAATAGGTGCAGTGGCTAAACACCGCTTGCGTGAGGAGTATAAGTTGGAGGCAGCAGCAACTCCCAGGACGAGCAAGAGGGACAGAGTCAGGCTAGCGTCAGGTCAGCGTCAGGTGGTTGGCCATGGATTCTCAGTGCTTGGTCGGCTAGACTTGTTTGTTGTTTTCTTGTGTGGAGGAAATGTCTTGGTCTTCTCTCTGGGTATTCTTCTTAGCTTGATGTAGATTTTCTCTCTTCTTCTGTCTCTTGAAGTGTCCATTCATTCGTGTTTGAGTCTGTTGTTCTTCCTTTATGTCCGATTAACGTGCCAGTCCACGGGCCGAGGAGCTTGATTCTGCGGCGTCTTTCTGAGCTCTTTCCCTGCCATTCTGTCCAGCCTTCGGGAGATTACTCAGCTCATATCCCACTTGTAGGCAATCATTTTAAATGGAATGCCGTTGGTGTCTGGGATCTCCGCGAGCTGTACGGGCATACCCTTCTCGGCGAAGGTGATCTTGATGTCACCATGGAGCTTCAGTCGTTCCACCTTGGTGACCCCCACGATCTCATTAGTTTCAAAGAACTTCTTGAGAACTAGGTTTAATTCCTTGGGGCAGGTCGGCGTATCCGGACGTATCCGCGCCACGTTATCAAACTCGTAACCATTCAAGGTGAGAGAGGGTTAGAGACTGAAGCTCCATGGTGACATCAAGATCACCTTCGCCGAGAAGGGTATGCCCGTACAGCTCGCGGAGATCCCAGACACCAACGGCATTCCATTTAAAATGATTGCCTACAAGTGGGACAACCTGAAGCTGGGAGTAATCTCCCACGCCGAAATTGCCCACGTGGACCAAGCAGAGCTGAGTGAGCTCCTCAAGGGGCAACTCCAAGTTGTGAAGAAGCTGTCCGACACCACTGCCCTCATCGGACACCATACAACCTTACCCAAGGAGGCTCAACTGGCGTGGGTAACTGTGCCAGTCAAGCCCTACTGCAGACCGAAACGCTGTTACAAATGCCAGCACTACGGACACACTGTCAACAAGTGTGAGGCGCAGGAGGAAACCTGCTCCCTGTGCAGCAACCCCGGACACCGCTACACGGTCTGCCCCAACACAGTAAAAAAATGCGCTGCCTGTGGCGGCCCACACTCCTCCGCCGATCGGACCTGCCCGAAATGGAAGGAGGAATGCAGGATAGCCAAGGCGAGACTCGACAAGAAACTGAGCTACAAAGAGGCCCTCCTTGCTGTACGCTCCCAAGACAAGAAAAAACCAGCAGAAAAGAAAAATCAAGAAAAGAAAACACAAGAAAAGACACCCGCCACACAGAATCAAGAACACCACGAGGCCCGTGGAGCTGAAGCCCACGTGGTCAACCTCACCATCTCCGACTTCTTCCACACCTATGAGGACTTAAGACTCGAGGAAGACGAACAACAAGACCCAAACACGAACGAATGGACACTCCAAGAGAGCAAGAAGAGGAGGAGAGTTAGAAGAAAATCTTTATCAAGCTAAGAAGAATACCAAGACATTTCCTCCACACAAGAAAACAACACACACAATCTAGCCGACCAAGCACTGAGAATCCATGGCCCAACCCAACACGCACCTGAAGCTAGCCTGGCTCAGTCCTGTCGCCTCCTGGCCGCGTCCGGGCGAGTTGCTGCTGCCTCCAACTTACACTCCCTCACGCAAGCGGTGTTTAGCCACTGCACCTATTCTCTCCTCCTAAAATTCGCTTCAATCCTCCCTTTTTCTTCCCCTGAACCTCCTTCTCCCTGTCACTAGCATTTCAGGTCATGTATGTCAGAGCAAGTCACGTTTCTGACTCTCTCATTGTATCTCAGGCACGTGTGCGTGCGTATGGTGTGTGCGCGCAGGTGTGGTGGGTGCGTGCAGGCCCGGATTATCCATTAGGCACAGTAGGCACAGTGCCTAGGGCCTACGAGATATTGGGGGCCTACGAAAAATAATACGAGAACTTTTCCCTTTCTACAGGTTATTATTAAATTGATACCGAGGTACTTTTTTTCCATTTATTTATTACTTAATCCTATTAGTATCATTTATGTTACTTGATTATCTTATTCTTTCGACATCACATTTTATAATTAGGTACTAGCTTGTGTTATTAGTGAATATGCTGTCAAATGGGGCCCCATATCTTGGAGGTGCCTAAGGCCTACGAAAGTCTTAAACCGTCCCTGGGTGCGTGCATGCGTGTGGTGCGATTTTTTTACAAGCGATCACAGATTATAATAACTAAATGAATACATCAGTACCAACCCACTTTACGAAAAGTTTGGTTATACACGTTAAGATAGTAGTCGGACGATAACCCCTAAAACTCCCAATTGATTAATATTAATGGCGTAATCCTTTCAAACAAAAGTAAGATTTGTACCCAGAGAACTCTACTTGTGTGCTTGTTAGACAAATAAAGCAAATCCCTATTGTTTGGGGGAATCTACTGTACATCACTGTAGCAAGAGGACTTACACCTGCGTCCACGATCAGTTTGGGAGGTGGCAGTTCCCGTTGGCAGTGGAGGTAGATACGAGAAGTATGGTCTTTACGACCACGGTCATACTTCACCGGGCAGTATCTGTGGTCACTAACGAACTGCCTTGCCATGAACTCTCCCGACAATTGCCTCAGCATCTCGTCATCTGCGCGCCCAACGGTGAACACCAATTCCTAGCCAAGGAACAAGTTGCAGAAGAATTATAGGATAAACTTAGATTACTCTTCAAATTACATGCATAAATTTAAGATTAAATCAACAGTTGCCAAAAAACTTGATACTCACTTTAGTCAAAAATAAAAGGTATTCTTGATTCACCAAACTGGTAGAGCTGGTGGCCCAGTTACGAGCCTTTATACAAAACTCCTTTAGTCTCTGGTTAAGGGTAGGTTGATCTTGATTGACCATTGCAGGTTGACTCAACATGAACCGGAGCTCTTTCTCCAGCACCCTGCCTCTTTCTACCACCCCCTGTATCCGCAACACCTCCGCCGAAATACATTCATATGCTGCATGTATAGTTTTCTTATTCGCTCCCAACTGAGTCAGGTACTCCGTAAATTCATTCAGACCGCAAATGAATCTTGTAACCATAAGTTTATACTCGATTGGTGGCAATTTTATGATGATGTTTTTCTTCGTCATCCTCTAGGGTCTCCTGGGCCCTGAGTTCCGCCGCGGCTCGGGTTCCGCTGGGCCACGCCGCGGCTCGGGTTCCGCTGGGCCACGCCGCGTCGGGTTCCGCTGGGCCACGCCGCGGTCCTGGGCACGCCCGCGTCGCCCCCCTCGGGTTGCGGCGACGTCTGCTACTGGAGATCTTTAGTTGAGTATGTCCAGGACTTTTTTTGGCGGCTGGAGCTGGCGGTGTTTGCTCAACCTGACCGTCATCCTCCTGGTCGTCGTCGTGACCGTCATCTTCCTGGTCGTCGTCGTGACCGTCATCCTCCTGGTCGTCATCGTGACCGTCATCCTCCTGGTGGTCGTCGTCGTGACCGTCATCCTCTGGTGGTCGTCGTCGTCGGACCGTCCATCCTGGTGGTCGTCGTCGTCGACCGTCATCCTCCTGGTGGTGGTCGTCGTCGTGACCGTCATCCTCCTGGTGGTGGTCGTCGTCGTGACCGTCATCCTCCTGGTGGTGGTCTCGTCGTCGTGACCGTCATCCTCCTGGTGGTGGTCGTCGTCGCTGGTCATCCTCCTGGTGGTCGTTCGTCGTGACCGTCATCCTCCTGGTGGTGTCACCGTCGTCGTGACCGTCATCCTCCTGGTGTGGTCGTCATCGTAGCCGTCATCCTCCTGGTGGTGGTCGTCGTGACCGTCATCCTCCTGGTGTGGTCGTCGTCGTGACCGTCATCCTCCTGGTGGTGGTCGTCGTCGTGAACGTCATCCTCCTGGTGGTGGTCGTCGTCGTGACCATCATCCTCCTGGTGGTCGCCAAGGCCATGCTGGTCGTCGTAGGCCATGTGGTCGTCGCCAAGGCCATGCTGGTCGTCGCCAAGGACTCAGCATGCTGGTCGTCGCCGCAGCCATGCTGGTCGTCGCCATGGTCATCATACTGCAGGTGGCTTCTTAGCGACAGACCCATTGAATGATGTCTATGAATCTGAAGATCCAAAGCAGAGCTTTGTGGTTCATCACATAGACAGCTAAATAGTGCCTGGCCTTGTGGATGGCCAAGAAGGTTCAGATCATCGTGTTGTGGGGAGTACACCCGAGCGTTCATAATCCAGGTCCGCATTTTTTTAATTTGCTTGCTAAATTCCTGCACATGCCGCTGACATCGCCTCTGTATATCATTTTGGTAATCTCTATTGACAGGAATCTTTCGTTCTGGATCACCACGCTGGCCTCCCTCCACAAAACCGCTATGGCTCTTCATATCATCCAACTTCCATTTAGCCAGAGAAAAGTTGTTCAATGAATTTGTCATACTTTTGTTTTTTGAAAGTTGCTTACCTTTGGAGGTTTTAAGAGGATTTATTTCGTTAAGACCTGTAAAACTTGCGTTTCCTTCAACTGTACATGAAACCTCACTTTTGTTTTAAACGATCTGTGCCAATTTCTTCCTTTTTTTTTAAAACGTTTTGTCTCAGCGAATGGCACAACAGACAGCTGAAGTTCAGCTAAATTTGTAAATTCGAATTTGTTCTCCATAGCAACATCCCCCTTCAGAAGAAAATGTTGGTCTCCCTCTACACAATTAACCGCATCTCTCCCGTGTTCAAAGTTCTCTTTCACCTGATAAATACCCTCATTCTCATACATCTGACCATTATTCGTATTACAACGTTCACATTGACTACAGATGTCATAAACACTTCCAGATTCACGTTGGGAAGACTTGTTCAGAGGAGCTTCGGATGGGAACCTTATGGCCTCCAGTCTTGCCACGAGTTCAACAATTGGATTCTTACCTTCAAACTTTTGGATTTTTGCAGACTGGTGCTGTCTGCCCGAACAAGTTCCTTCTCTAGATTTGTGGACTTCAGTAAAGATTAAAGTTTTAATTGGCATTACCTCGAAGTCGTCTAAAGTCCTGGTGGTCATAGGTTTGACAGACCGACAGAACGAAATATCATGCAGGTGGTCTTGGCATCGATGGTCAGGCAAAATTGTCTCTACCTTACCCAGGCAGTCTTTCCAAGTGTCTATTTCTCCACACTCTGACATGGCACCACCTGAAGCTGTGAAAGAATCAGAACTGCATTTAGTATACGTACATAGGTCCGAGATCAGAATTGCATTTAGCAGATTTAGGCCAAGTTCAGGACTGCACTGAATAGATCCGGGCCAAGTTCAGAGCTGCGCTTGACACCTCCGGGCCAAGTTCAGAGCTGCACTCGACACGTCCGGGCCAAGTTCAGAGCTGCACTCGACACGTCCGGGCCAAGTTCAGAGCTGCACTCGACACGTCCGGGCCAAGTTCAGAGCTGCTCGACACGTCCGGGCCAAGTTCAGAGCTGCACTCGACACGTCCGGGCCAAGTTCAGAGCTGCACTCGACACGTCCGGGCCAAGTTCAGAGCTGCACTCGACACGTCCGGGCCAAGTTCAGAGCTGCGCTTGACATATCTGGGCCAAATTCAGAGCTGCGCTTGACACATCCGGGCCAAGTTCAGAGCTGCATTTGACGCCTCCGGCCAAGTTCAGAGCTGCGCTTGACTCATCCGGACCAAGTTCAGAGCAGCACTACAGTTTCTAGCATAACTAATTGCAATCTGTTCGACTAGTATACGAGTATATTTCAATATCTATAAAGGAGTCACAGCCAAGCAAAGGGGTGAAAATTTACTTTTCGTTGATGGATGGACGAGGATATAATTTGCGTGACATTTGTATTATAAATGAGATTTGTTATCATTAAAATTGCTGTCGTTATAACCTGTTATAAGCTACCAATATGGGTTGAATTTATATATAAATAAAGGGGGTGTGGTGGAAAGGAGTTTAACGTTCTATCCAATTCTCTTAAGGTAATTGTGGAAAGTGTCTTTGCAAGATTTGTCAGGACTGAGTTCAAATATACACTAGATCAGTGTTTTTCAAACTTTATTTACTGTGACCCACAGCCAGAACAACAATTTGAATTGCGACCCATTAAACCTAAGTGTAATGATATGAAATGAGTAAATCAAAGACAAACACTTCACAATTTTCCTTTATTTAGCATCGACAAAATTCATGTAAATTTCTCATGATCCATTTATATTTGAATTATATGTATCCAATTGTATGAAAATAAAAATATTCCGATTATTTTTCGCGACCCATTTTTATTTTGCGACCCAATTTATTTATTTCGCGACCCACTGAAGGGTCGGGACCCATAGTTTGAAAACCCCTGCACTAGATGGACATGACGTTTACGAACCGTTCTCGGGCACCTTGCAAGACCTTAGAGCCAGTCAGGTGAGGGTACAGGGGAGGATGTTTGTGAAGAATCGAAGTGGTAAAATTAAACTAATAGGGAGACACTTGCTGATTGTTGGAAGTATCTACAGGTCACTAAATTGCATCTTATTAAACCAAAGGAACTTAAAGAGCCTTAATTGACAACGCAACAGAGCTCAACTCTAGTCACCTTGTCTTGGGGGATTTAACTATGGCGACATCGGCTGGAAAAATGAAACGACGCCAAATGACTTTAATAATGTCGCTGTTGTGTAGAAACTCTGGAAATTTGTATTCCAACTTGTTAAAAGACCCGACTCACTACAGTAGGAACAAACACCCAAACCGCTGGACCTTATCATAACTAACGAGGAGGGTATGGTGGCCAAGCTGGAACACCTATCGGTGACACCAGTCACCACGCGAGGTTGTCAGTCAGATTTAACTGTTACTTGGGTCATGATAAATGCAGGTCAAGGTTCAAATATCATACGGGCGATTACGACAGGATAAGAGGTATTCACTGGCCTGAATCAATAATACAAGAACGCAGACACTATGCTGAATATCATAGCCAGTATAATAAACTATTTTAATGATAAATATACGAGTATACCAAAGACGAAGTCCACTGGCTCGAAGAATACAAGGAGACCGTTACATACTTCTGAACCATGCAGCGGTTGACAATGTAAAGAAAAAATCGCAGGAATTCAAGAGGTGGGTTAAAACAAATGACGACCAGGACAGGAGGATATATGCCAGGTCCAGGAACCAAGAAAATTCAGAGTACAGAGTGCAAAAGGGCTGAAAATAAGTTCCAGAGGCGGGTTGCAAGCGAGGTCAAGTCAAACCCAAATCCTTTCTACCATGTGGGCGTATCGCATCCGTCGGGCCTTGGCTCTCTTTGTATTCTCCACGATAAAAGTTAGTCTTGTGACGGCGGTACCGTCTATAAGCCCGATGACGCTCAACCACAGCCTGCCTGCACTCCTCAGACCACCAAGGAACCGTCCGGCGCGGCGGTTGCGCGAGGTCTGAGGGATGGAAAGCTCACTAGAACATTGGAGAAAGGTGGAAAAGTATTCGACAGCGCTATCAACTTCCATGAACTCTGCAACATCCCGGTCTACAGTGGCAAGCCCCCGAAACTGTAAGATATAAACTAGGTTACCCCATATTTATATGAATATGTTCTATTATGTTTTATGTTAGTTATTGGAATAAAGCGCCACTGCTGCGCATGTTATGTTTTTGTTTTGTTTTTACGGATGGTCCCGAAATATACTGGAAGAAGCAACATCGTCTGTGTCATTGTCTGAGCCTCTCGCATCATATTTCGTTGATATCCACCAAAAATGAACACGAACTTCAACAGAAACCACAACCAATCAGCCCTGTCCAGGTGAAGTCGAGGGCAGCGTCGGGAAAACTCGAGATCACGGATTGGACGGACCAAAGACGGAAGATCCTCTATCAACCGGCGAATTAGGTGGGAAGTAAAGGAACAAATTAAACGTGCGCCGTAGGTGGAGCTGAACAGCAACTACCTGCAGGGGACAGGTAACGTTAAAGTTACGAGATACCCTGAGAGGCATCTATAAAAATAGCGGCGCCCCCATGATGGCCCCTATGGAATCATGGGGAAAAAGCAGATAACCCCTGGGATGGGAGTACGAGCCAACCATGGTCTCCTGCAGACAAGCACAGACCGACAGGAACCTGTGCAGGTGCAGTTCGAGCTCCTCCCAGTTTGTCCGTAACCCATGGAGATTTCACTATAGGAGATGGCGCATTGATATTACCAAAGAGGCTTAGAAGCGCCCTTAGATTGGAGCTTCTTAGCAACCACTACATTTTTGCTTTGTCTGTAAGCAGCAGGCTTCACAGAATAGTAAGAGTGAACCGCCCTCGACGGGCCTGCCACTCACCCCGCAACCGATGACTTGGCCGCGGGCTTGTTGGAACAATAGGAGGCCTAGAGATAAATACCAATTCCCAGAGAATTCGAACCTTCAGTGAGGATTTCGCAAGAGGCTACATGCCTTCTGTGAGGGAGCTATCATCCAAAGAACATATGTGGAAAAAATGAACGAAATCTAACTTCTGGTGTTAGCCATCTGCTCCAGTATTACCAGACTGTATTTTCGGTCAATTTATGATGGTAGCCAGGTTTCGATTTTTCCATAAAAATATTTTTTTTCACATAGTTCAGACTATTCTAAGACACCTTTCTTCATTGTCATTTCCGTCGGAAATTTATATTTTTCGAGTATTTTAATATAAAATTACCAACAATATTAATTGTTTAAAGTGTGCAGGGCTTTAAAGTCGATAAAAATGTGTGGTAAAATACTCAAAATAACAAACAAACCTTTGAAAACCTGACCTGACGTTTCATAACCTTAAAAATCCTTAAACTTTAAAAAGTTCACCTTATGTTTTTGGTCACAGGCCTGGCATTTGACATTATTAGGGACCTGCCACTTTAAACAGATGAAATGTACCGGGAACTTTCCCCCCACACTCATCATTCTCTCACTTTATGTAACTTGACAGAACCTATGACCCTTCAGGCTTTATACGCCCTTAATGTCGAGTCATGCGCAAGTATGAACTTTCATACTCTGTTGGGCTGTAAACGCTTCTGCGCTTCACCTTGCACAGGATGTAAGGGGTGCCAATAAACTAGCCCCTCGGGGCAAATCTGAAATCTGAATCTTATGTTTTTGGTGTTTAGTAGGTGATGGTGCTTTCGGTGTTCAGATCAGGAGGGATGTGTAAACTCTAAAGCGATTCTTAAAATTGTTACAAGTTAGGAAACGTTAGGTCAGGTTTTCAAAGGTTTGTTTGATGTTATTTTTAGTATTTTACCACACATTTTTCCTCCACTTCTAAAACCCTGCCCACTTTAAACAAGTAATATTGTTGGTAATTTTGATATTACTGTACAGTAGTTTCGAACAATATGGTTTCGAGTTGATCAATGTGTTTTTCCGATGGTTTAGGCACTTTTAAGACAATTTTCTTGTATGATGTTTCCCTTGCAAATTAGTTAAATATACCGGGAGATCCAGGAAGACAGAGAGAGCCCCCCACCCCGTTAGAAGGTTAGGTTAAGTAATTTTAGGTCATTTGCGATGGAAATGTCAAAGAAAAGCCTTAAAATTGTCCAAGCCATCGAAAAAACACATTGCTCAACTCTAGAGCCATATTGTCCGAAACTGCAGTTTTACCAATTGTATTGTAGTGGCTCCTCTCCCCTACAACTTCCAACTGATGACTGAGCTCCCGCACGCCTACCAGCCAATCAACGTACAGCCAGCGACGCTGGTAGACCTTGTAGGAATTCGTGGTATAATGTTGTCTAGCACTCAGGATGGATGGAAACTCTAATGTGGCTTTCTTGTATAATATAAGTTATATGATAGACAGTCTGGTGCTGGAGGTGCCGTGTGGTGAGGAGCTGCTCAGTAGATACGTTCGGTGAGTAGCGTGTTGAAGGAGGTAGATGTGCAGGAGCTTCGTTAGAGAAGATGTTGCCTGTTGCTGGCCTCCTGGTTGAATGAAAGCTGGACAGCATGGAGCTTGCTGGAGGAGGTGTTGCGTGTTCAGGAAGATGGGCAGAATGAGAGCTGGTTGGTGAGGAAGCTCAGAGAAGGACAGCTGGTGTGTCGCCATGCTCGCTGGCGAGAAGCGAGGACCGCCAGGCAGGCGAGGAGAAGCGAGGGCCACCAGGCAGCGGCGGAGGAAGAGGTGTTGCCTGTTCAAGAAGAGAGACCAGAATGAATCTC